TGTTTGCACAGATGGCAGGAAGAATGGGGCTGCCTTTGTAGCTTTCCCTGCAGGGAGGACCAAGACAAAGATTACCAAGATTCTCCCTTGTGAAGGATATGCTCAATATAAGAAAATGTTGGCCATATATATTGTCCTACAAGAGGTCCCAGAACCCTGCATTCTCTATTAAGACAGCTCTTATGTGGTGGACCTACTTCCACACTTACCCTATGCCTATATCAGATTGCCTGATAATTCTATTTCTACCTTGATGATACAACTCGGATTGCTCTTAGAAGGTTGAAAAAAACATATATATTCAACATCTCAGAGTACACCAAAACCTCCCTGGCGTCATTTCCCAAGGGAATGCTGCTGCGGATGCTGCAGCTTCAGGGGCCTGTCTCATAGAAGTCTCAACTCTGCTCAAACAAAATGCTACCCAAATGCATGACTTAACTCATGCCAACTGAAGATGACTCAAATACCTATACCCCCAGATCCCCACAACAGAATTAAATAGAATTGTCCATACATGTAAGACTTGCCAACAGTTTCTCCATACCCCCCAAATGTGAACCCAATATCATCTCACAAACAAATGTAATGCATTACCTTCCATTTGTCAAATTAAAATATATACTTGTGAACATAGACACATACTCTAAGGCATGCTTGCCTACTGCCCACTCAGGGAAAAAGGTAACCCATGCCAAAAGCCACTTCTTACAATACTTTGCTACGTTGGGACTACCACAACAGGTCATGACTGACAATAGCCCCTGTTTTATAAGTAAAACATTAAAAGAATTCTTCCAGAGATGGACTATATCCCATACCACCAGGATCCCATATAACCCCCAGGATCAAGCGATTGTCGAAAGACATCACCAATATTTCAAAGAAGTCCTTATAAAACAAAAAAGGGGAGAAGTCTACTCATTTACAACTGCAGAAGGCATTATCAACCACCAATATTTTAAATTTTCAAAAATCAGGTGAACAAAATAGATTCCAGAAACATTGGGGATTCCTACCAATGAGGCCCTGCCTAAAGGTTAGGTGGAAGGATCCTCTCACTAACCAAAGGAGGGGGCAAGATCCCTTGTTGACACAGGGCTGAGGATATGAATGTGTCTTCCCAGAGGGGAAATGCCTATATGGCTACCTGCTGGTAGCTTAAAATTTCTCCCTTCCACTGAGGACAATGGAGAAGACCAAGATGACCAAGAAAGAAAGAAAGAGATTATGGTCGACAACTCTTAAATTCAAACACAAGGAAAAATAAATAACAACTGCCCAAGGGAGACTGATCCTTGAGGAAAGTGTTGCCATTTTATCTATTTCAGATGGCCCTCCCAGTGGCAGTCATGTTAATTCTTCTCACAGGAATCGAGGTCCAGGCCTCCACCAACCACAGAAGGTGATGTGGATCCTGTGGAATGCTGGCACTGGAGGGATCCTAAATGAGACTTCTCAGATGACAACCCTTAGGACAAGGTGGCCTGACCTGATGTTTGACCTCTGCAATTTGGCATGTGGGAGCTGGGATTTGAGAGACTGGATTCCGGGGATTGAAGGGAGACGTGAATGTGGAGGATCTCAGGGGTGCACCCTACCCCAGCCATCTTACCCTAATGAACTTGGGAGTTCTCATGTCCATAGGAGACATGCCTTCCTGCAGACACCATTTTATGTATGACCAGGAAGCAACTGGACTGCCTCTGCTAATAGAAATTGTGTGTGTGTGGGGGGGGGGTGTCCTGATTACTATTGTTCATTCTGGAGATGTGAGCAGACTGGGCTGGACATAATTAGAAAAGACAGAGACTGCATTGTGTTATTTACAAATGTCTTTGGATTCTTTAGCAAGGGTAACCTTACAAAATAAGAGAGGCTTGGACTTGCTGTTTATGGAACAGGGAGAAATTTCCAGGGCACTTGGGGAAGAATTTTGCTTCTATGCAGACCATTCCAGAACAGTTTACAAGAACCCTGCAGGAGTTAGGAAAAGATATTGATTCATTTAAGTCAAGGACCCTCTATGAGACCTGCTTTAATTGGTCACCATGCCTTATCACACTCATCTTTTCCCTAATTGGGCCAATGGCTATTTGTTTATTGATCTGTCTTTTTGGCCCATGCATCCTCGAAAGACTGAAACAAGCATTCCAAAAACAAATACGACAGGTGCAACTCATGGCCCTTTGAGTACATTATGATAGGCTCGATACATCTCACTCCATAGATGAACTCTCAGTTTGAGGGTATGCAGGCCAAAACTCTGGATAAGGGTGGCCCTGACCCTTACTCTCTCCCCCATGGGCTATTCTGGCTTGGTGACCGGGGTGGGTGTGGGATATAAAACAAAAGGTGAGATTTTGGGCCTAAATTATCTCTGAATCTGTACCTCAAGGCCTGTAGGACAGAGGAAATCATGGCTAAAGTTTAAAGAATAGTCTCAAATCTACTGAATAAGAATGAGACAGCAAAATCTAGGTAGACATCCCTCCAGCCAGAGGAAGGGCTTGGCTGTCTCTCATTGGCTGGAGGTACCCCCACATCACAGGATGTCACTTAAGCTATATAAGCTGATGCTCACAGTAATAAGCTGAGTTCCTGCTTTGACTTGACTCCCTAGTGTGTCTGATTGTCCTGCATCTTGAGGCTGTGGATCTGATTGTCCTATGTCATGGGGCTGTTGAATGGGCAGATAGCGCACTCACCATTCCCTGGGGAATAAGGTTAAGGAGGCCTGGCAGCACATGAATAGCAACCTTATTAGAGCACAATCTCATCTTACACTTCTATTAAACAAAAGCATTGACAGACACAAAACTGCTTACTTCACAGTGCAGCTATGGGTTCACAGTGTAGTTGCCCTGAAGTCAGGGCTGACAGCACTAGACTGAAAATACCTGCTCAAAAATCTATCACAGGAAAGTGAAAAGAATCCCGGAATATTTCCAGCCTTATCATTTCTTTTTGGATAGCTATGATTTATTAAAATGATTTCTGAAAGTGATTAAAGCATCAACAAAATATTTTAAGTGATGGTATAAATGGATGGTACTTTCTTAATAATAAAATCAATTCTCTTTTTGAAAAGACATTTAGAAGAAAAACTTTAGGTTATATTGAATTCTCAAATGCCTGATTGGATTTTTAAATAACAAGGGCAGAGAGAAGTAAGCCTTTCCCTCACTATACCTTGCTCATCCATGTTATTTATTACACCAGGTTGAACAAATTAATCCCAAATCCTCAACAGTATTATTAGTAGAAGCATCCCAATTTAAAAACTGTGACTTCTCTCCCAATTATGCCTGATTGTAGGAGGAATGAAGCATTCTCCAATGTGTATCATACAAAATTCATGATAAACATTAACAACACTGAATTTTATGCCTGCAGTTATGGAAAAAATATGTATAAATGATACATGTGTACCTTCTTTTAAATTTATTTATTTATCTATTTATTTATAATTTGTGTGTATGAGATTTTGCCTGCCTGATTGTTATATGTACCACATGTGTACCCAATGCCTACAGAGGTCTGAAGAAAGTATCAGGTCCCCTACAACTGTAGTTAACAGGCAGTTATGCGCTACCTGATTGATGAGTGTACTAGGAACAGAACCCAGGTCCTCTACAAGAGCAGTAAGTGCCCTGAACCATCTCTCCATCCCCAGGTGGGCACTTCCTTACTGAAAGCATTCAGCAGTGTTGTATGAGCTTACTGCAGTTTGGCTCCTGGTAAAACTATGTAGGACTGAATATTATGAAGTTAGTCCCAGGACGTGTAACTAGCAATCAACTCAAAATTTCCACAGATATTGTAATTAGGCAGGGTTTACATTGTTAGTTCATGTAACATGAGGGCCGGCTTGTTGGGGTTTGAGGGCTGGCTTGTTGGGGTTTCTGTCCTGCCCAGTACCCCACAACTGGTAAGTCCCAAAGAAAATCACACAGAGTCTACATTAGGTTATAAACTGATTGGCCCATTAGTTCAGTATTCTTATTAAGTAATTCTTATATCTTACGGTACCCCATAATTCTTGTCTGTGTTAGCCATGTGGCTCAGTACCTTTTCCAGTGGGGCAGGTTACATCTTGCTTCTCTGTGGTCTGGGCAGGAATGGAGGAATGGGCTTCCTCCTTCCTAGCCTTCTCCTGTTCTCATTGCCCTGCCTCTACTTCCTGTCTGGTTGACCCACATACACTTCCTGCCTGGCCAATCAGTGTTTATTAAAATACATGATTGACAGAGTACAGATAATTCTCCTGCACCACTTCCCCCTCTTTGCTTCTCCAAGCCGAGACGGACATAGGCTAGAATCTTTCCTGGTAAGCCACCACCTCGTGGTGCTACACAGATTATTAGAAATGGGTTAATCAAGATGTGAAAGTTAGTCAGTAAGAGGCTAGAGATAATGGGCCAGGCAGTGTTTAAATGAATACAATTTGTGTGTTGTTATTTCAGGTATAAAGCTAGCCATGTGGGAGCCAGGCAGGATGAAAAGCAGGCCTGCTTGCCTCATTACTACAAGTTAATTTCTAGGGGGGCACAGGTATGTTTCAAAAATAGATTTTGAAAGATGTTTTAAAATTACCATCTTTAAAGGAAAATCATTGGCCAGTGAAAATATTCACAGTTCAAATTTAGTAAACCATGAATCAAGCTAAATGTTCACAGTTATTTCTAGAATAGTTCAACATTGTTCCAGGTTCACACTATACCTACACCTTTATGGGGCAACTACTTGCATATTAGCTACTTGCATTCCTATACCTGGAGTGGGAGCAAATCATGTAAAAAGTCAGTAATGAAAGAGATAAAGTGCACTTTCAGAGCCTGTTCCCCATTCTTTATTTTGTACTCAGAGATGAAAGAGGAGGAAGAATAGGTATGTCAAAGGAAACAATAAAAGTTTACCTACTATCTCCTCGCCGCCTTCAGCTCCCAGGACCAGCCAGCACCATCTCTTTGTGGGTAGCTCCAGACTGCATCTCAGCCATGACAGCCCAGGTTCGTCAGAATTATTCCACCAAAGTGGAGGCTGCTGTGAACCGCCTGGTCAACATGTAATGGCGAATCAATCTCACACCAGTTAGGTTTTAAAGGGGTATTTATTTGGGGGGTTAAAACTTACATACGCAAAAACCGTCAGGAAAGGAGCCTAGTCACTGGAGCAGGAGGCAGAATCAAGAGCCGGAACCAAGAGAGGCCAAGCCAAGACTTGCGGCTCTTTTTAAAAGAGAAATATACCACGCCCCAGTAGGCTGGTATTTCAGTGGCTATTGGCTGAAAGAGTGGAAGGCGCTCCCATGGCATTGTGGGCTCATACTTCAGCGACTATTGGCTGAAGGATCAGAAGGTACTCCTGCAGCATCTCCCCCTTTTGTTTAAGTAAGAGAGTTCTAAGCCTATTATGAAATTATATACAATAAGTACAAATATCCTATTCTAACTAGCTTAAGTCTTGTATAATAAATAACTTGGCCAAGTCATGAGAGGAAAGTAGCTACATTTATCTAGTCTTCAACCCCATAGAAGATCCAAGAAGGGAAATAATGTTACCTGAGTAATTAGGAAGTGCAATCAAAGAACTACCAAAACATGCAACAAATCACAGAGACAACTGGCTACCTGGGCAATCACCAAAGACCTGTTTGCAGTGTTGGAGCAACCAACTTTGACTAAGGCCTAGAATAACTGACAGATTATTTTTAACAGGCAAGAGATTTTTCAAAACCATCTTACCCTGTCTTTGCAAGATTTAACAGTTCTGTCTATCCATTTCTGAATTTTATCCATTTCTCGATTTTAACAGGCAAGAGATTTTTCAAAACCGTCTTACCCTGTCTTGGTAAGATTTGACAGTTCTGCTTATCTATTTCCGGATACTGTGTATTTGTCAGTAATTGAGGTATTGGCAGTTCCTTGCCTAGAGGCCGGTTTTGTCAAGAAGACAAGCTCCAAGTGGAGTGTCTTTGGTGCTCAACAATCTCTTGGGAATAGGTCGGTGTTGCCAGGAGTGATTGTGTTTCACTGCACAGAACTTTAAGATTAAATTAAATGCCATTTTTTACAGCTCTTTGAAGAGGTTGAAGACTATTTATACAGAATATAATCTCTATGTATCTAAAGAACCTGATTAGTCTAACCATAAATATGACAGACATAGATGACTATTGATCTACAATTCTTAACACATATCTAACTTAAAGACTAAGAGAATAAACAACTGTGCAATAAATGAGGACAATGACCTCCAAATGTAAACAATAAATATCAATACATAAACAATATATAAGTATCTTAATCAGAGGTAGAAATGTATACTGCAATATGGTATACATATATCAATACAATATATATCAATACATAAAGAATGTTTTAAACAGGAAGAAACATGCATACCTACAATATTCAATATATGCCAATGTAATTATCTATAAAGAATCACTCATAAATACCATTATTATCTATCCAATTACCCCTTTTTTTTCAAAAAGATCCTTGAGCTTATAAAATTCCTTTCCCAACTCTGAACCGTATACTAATTATAATCAATCCCTAAATATTGTTCCTAAACCTGAGGACAAACTTTGCTGAAGAGGGGACATCATCCTCTAGAATTACTTCCAGCTGACATGGGGATGAGGTTCTTTCTGGAGGATCCTGTGAAAGTAAAATGATGGTTAAATTTCAAGATCAATGTCTTTTAAAACTGCAAACAGTCTCTGAGTATTTTGTGGAGGTCTGGCCAGAATGTTGTACAAGATGTGCACCATTTCAGCTAACCAAGTTGGAATCATCTGTGCAGCTGATACCCGGAACAGGACATGTAGTAGTACTATCAGTATCATGACATCATATCAACTGAATGGAGTTGTTGTTATGGGGGTCCCATCTTCTTCCCGGAAACTTCAAAAGTCAGTGCAGGAAATACTCATTGTTCATTGTGGAAAACTTAAACATTAATTATATAGACATAAAACATATATTCAATGAAAGGTATGATAGACATATTCAATGAAAAGTATGATAGATATGAAGAAAAGCAACGATGTTTTCTAAACTCATATTTCTTTCTGTCTCATATCATGGCTCTTGACATAAGACAGAAACTCCAGAAACTCTGGGTTTTTCTCTTAACAACAGGCTTGGAATTAGAGAGGGACTGAGCCAAGAGTCCAACTCAAAAACCAGCTCTATAAATTCAGAAATATGATTTAGTACATTCCAGAGCTTCATACTCACAGAACCTATTCAGTTTTCTTGATAATCCATATTGGGTAGTTGGACCAATCTGTCAGTATTTTTCCATCTGTCAGTATTCAAACATCCAGGGTCCCTTGAATTTTTCAAGGATGAGTGTTTTCCTGTGGAGACAAGAACAGAAACCGGCCCCCATTCTATGTTTTTCTTACCACCTGTATGGTCATCATCATCGTAGATGCTGTCATTTCTCCTTTCCAAGAGATTTCTTCTCTTCAAATCTAACCTTTATTAATTTTTATGGTATCCACAATTTTTCTTCTCCTGTGGAAACAAGAGTAAAACCCCTTCCCCAATGTAGCACATCTCCTGGCTTCCATTGAGAGGTCAGCACATCCTTGATATAAACCGGTTGATTTAATTCAGCAGACTTTTCCATTACCCAATGTTTTTCTGCCACTGTTGGTCCCTTCTCATTAGCATTAAGAAAATTCAAGGTTAATAAAGCATTATGTAACCTATTCCTGGGGGTATTTTCCACCCTATTCTGTTTGTTCAACATATCTTTTATAGTTCGATTTGACCTTTCTATAAGTGCTTGACCTGTAGGATTGTATGGTATAGCTGTAACATGCTTAATATTATAATAAGCAAAAAATCGTTTCATTTTCTTAGAAACATAAGTTGCACCATTATCTGTCTTTATCTGTGTAGGTATATCCATGATGGTCATAACTTCTAATAAATGAGTGATTACTGAATCAGCTTTTTCTGAGCTTAAAGCAGTTGCCTACTGAAAGCCTGAATAAGTGTCAATAGTGTGATGTACATATTTTAATTTGCCAAATTCTGGAAAGTGGAACACATCCATCTGCCAAATTTCATTCCTTTTAATACCCTTTGGATTAGTCCCTGCAGGCAATGGTGTTTGGTTATAAAAAGACCAAGTAGGGCATTTCTTTACAATCTCCTTAGCTTGTTGCCATGTAATAGAAAACTCTTTTTTCAAGCCTTTGCTATTGACATGATGTTTTTATGAAATTCAGATGCCTGCAGCACACTTCCAATCAATAATTGATCAATATCTGCATTACCTTGTACTAGAGGACCTGGCAGTCCATATGGGATCGGATGTGTATTATATACATAGGGCAAAGCCTGTTCCTGATCATGTCTTGTACCTGGATAAACAATGAGGTCAGTTCTGTATCATCAGGTATAAATTCAGCAGTTTCAATATGTAAGATAACTCTTTCTGCATATTGTGAGTCAGTAATTATATTAAGAGGTTCTTTAAAATCCCTAAGCACCATAAAATGACATATAATTCTGCCTTCTGGACAGAATCATAAGGACTTTGTTCCACTTTACTTAATTCTTCTGATTTGTAACTTGCTTTCCCTGATTTATTAGCATCAGTATAAAATGTACAGGCTCCAGTTATTGGAGCATCATGGACAATTCGAGGAAGAATCCAAGAAGTTCTCTTTATAAAATTTAGTCTCTTGCTTTTTGGGTAATTGTTATTGATTTCTCCCAAAAATTAGCACAAACTCTTTGCCATGGTTCATTGTCTTCTCACAACTTTTTTTTATCTCATCAGCAGTGAAAGGCACTATAATTTCTGCTGGGTCTATACCTGCTAATTGACGAAGTCTCAATTTTCCTTTTATAATCAGTTCAGAGACTTTTTCCACATAAGTTTTTAATTTTTTACTTGGTTTGTGTGGTAAAAAGATCCATTCCAAGATAATATCATCTCGTTCCTGTAGGGGAAATTCTGGAAGGCAATATGACGAGAATACAACTAAGCTTTGGATTTACCCTGTCCACATGAGCCTCCTGCAATTTTTCTTCAACCATTGTCAGTTCTTTTTCTTCTTCGGCTGTTAATTCTATGGGACTGTTTAAGTCTTTATCACCATCCTAAGTCTTGTTTAAATGAATTATTAGATCAGGTGTTATCCCAACAGCTGGTCGTAGGCTGGAGATGTCTCCTAATAATCTTTGAAAGTCATTAAGAGTTCGTAACTGATCTCTCCTGATTTGTGCCTTTTGTGTCTTAATTCTTTGTAAACTTATTTTATAACCTAAATAATTAACAGAATCTCCTCTCTGAATTTTTTCAGGAGCAATTTGCAATCCCCATTTAGGTAATACTATTTTTACTTCTTCAAACAGCCTTTCTAAGGTGTCTTTGTTTTGATCAGATATCAGGATATCATCCATATAGTGGTGTATTATGGACTTAGGAAATTGTTTGCGTATAATTTTAAATGGTTGGATTACAAAATATTGGCACAGGGTGGGAGAGTTTAACATTCCCTGTGGGAGGATGGCCCACTGGTACCTCCTTGCAGGCTGAGAGTTATTATAAGTAGGCACTGTGAAGGCAAACTTTTCTCTATCTTTTTCTTGTAATGGTATAGTGAAGAAACAATCTTTCAGATCAATAACTATAAGAGGCCATCCCTTTGGTAACAGGGAGGGCAGAGGAATTCCAGATTGCAGAGGGCCCATAGGTTGAATAACCTTGTTGATATCTCTAATATCTGTCACCATTCTCCATTTACCAGATTTTTTTCTTAACAACAAGTACAGGAGAATTCCAAGGGCTGGTAGATTCTTCTATATGTCGAGCATCTAATTGATCTTGTACCAGCTGTTCTAAAGCCTGTAACTTTTCCTCAGCTAAAGGCCATTGTTTAGTCCATATTGGTTTCTCAGTCAACCATTGTAGAGGCATGGCTGTTGCTACCTCTGAAGGGCCATTAATTGTGTTGTGTTCTTGTATAGTTTTAATGGCCAGTTTCCACCATCTGTAATATCTTGTAATATTTTCCTCAGAAATATAGGCTCTGGAAGCAGCAGGAATGTTAATTTGGGTATTCCATTGTTGCAATAGGTCACGACCCCATAAATTCACTCCAATATTGGCTACATATGGCCTTAGTTTTCCTATTTGTCCAACTGGACCTATACAAGTGACCCATCTCGTGCTTTGTCTAACTCGAGATAGGGTTCCAATTCCTAGGAACTGAATATCTACCTCCTGAAGAGGCCAATGCAGATGCCAAGATTCTGGAGTAATGATACTTACATCTGCACCTGTGTCCCATAAGCCAGTAATAAGTTTGCTATTTACACACACTCTTATCTGTGGTCTTTGTTCATTTATAGAAGTCTGCCAGAATATACGTTTATTTTGTCCTCTTAGATTTCTTGATTCATTCACCACATTTAACTCATCCTTCAGGCAGTTATTACTTTTAACAGCAGGCATGGGACATTCTAATTTCCCTGAAGAGGCATAGTCTCTGTAGTGACCGGAAATGACTGGTTCACATTCACTATGGGGGACTGCGAGAGGTCCCACATTGCGTTTCCCAATGGCAATGAGTTGCCCTGTTTATCTCTTGTCGACCTACACTCATTCGGCCAATGCCTGCCCTTTCCACATCTCCTACATAAACCTGAAGGCTTATTCCTCCTATTCTTGTTATTCCTAGAAGAGGCATTATTTCTAGAATTCCATTGTCTGCAGTCCCTTTTCATGTGTCCCATTTTGCCACAATGAAAGTATTTTGTGATCTGATGATCTGATGATCTTTTACCTTTGGAAATTGATTCTTGTACCCATGATTCATTGCTATAGTCAAAGGTATCAACATTCATTGTATGTAATACCCATTCATCCAAAAATGCTGATCTGATCTTTAAAGGCCCCAGGATCCTTTTGCATTCTACGTTGGCATTCTCATAAGCCAAAGACTCAGTTACTATATTTCTTGCTTCTGGATCAGGTATCCCTATTTGTATAGCCTTAGTTAGTCTTTGTAAAAAGTCACTAAAGGGTTCTCTCTGACCCTGTTTGACCCTGATATACGATTCTACTCTCTGACCTGAGTCTTGAACCCTGTCCCAGGCCCTTAGAGCTACTGTGGCACATATGGATAAAATGTTTTCATCATAAAGAGCTTGTTCCTGAGGATCAGAGTAAAGTCCTTTCTCTAGAATTTGATCTAGAGGAACCTCAATTCCTTTCGCTGATTCTTGTTGTTGTAAAATTCTGGCTTCTTGTTTGAATAGGCATTTGAAATGCCATAAAGGTCCGTTCTCGAGGATAGCTGACGTTAATTGATTCCAATCTTGAGTGGTGGCCCTGCTGCTCAGAGCCCAGGATTTTAACATCTCTCTAACAAAGGATGAATGTAGTCCATAATTTATAATTGCTTGTTTAAATTCTTTCAGATCACTCATACGTATAGGCTCCCATGTATGTTCTTTAATGACCTTAGGGTTTTTGGAGTCAGTTATTTTTTCTGATGTTATTACTGGAAAGGCAGGTATAACTCTCTGTAAACTGAGAGTTTTCAGAGGTAAATGATGCCTTTCTACCTTTTGCTCCTGTTCATCAGAGTCTATGATTTCCTCAGTCTTATTAAATCTGCTCACCATTACCTTCTGTAAGTCCTGAATCTCCTGTCCAGTATTATGCTCCAAAGCATTCATTAACAATTCTAAGTTGTGGAGCTTGTCCATCAGAGACACCATTTCCTCCTTGGACACAATCGCCTTCATTGATAATTCTAAGGCGTGGAGCTTGTCTGTTAGAGATACCATATCCTCCTTGGACATAATCTTCATGGCATGTACTGTGCCTTCTTGTATGGAAATCCTGTCAATTAATCTATCATACCCTTTTGAGAAAGTCCGATTTTCACATTCAATGGTTTTAATCCTCTCAGCTAATGTTTCAGCACTTATAGTCATGGACTGGAGGTTACGAGTCCTTTTGGTTGTCCCCTCCTCCAGAGCAGTGAAGCTCCCTTCTAAAGAAGCAATATCAGACTGTACCTTCTTGATATTTTGGTCAGTCGACCGAGTCATATCAGACAAAGATCTAGTCTCCTCCTTGAGAACTCCAAACTCTGATCTAGTCTCCTCCTTGAAAACTCCAAACTCTTTTTTGAGGAGGTTGGTGTCAGTCTGAATTTTCCTTAAGGTTTTAATCTCTGCCCTCAGCATTGTGGATTCAATCTGTAAGGACTGTATCATCTTTATAAAATAGCCAAACACCAAAAAAGCGATAGATCCCAGAAATAACCAAGTAAGAGGAATATCAGATACATCCTTCATAATATCCTCCATAGCGCAATTAAAAAAGCCATTGAACTTTTGGATAGTAATATTTTCTGACATTTTCAATCAAAAGAAGTCATACTTGTATGTATGTATGTATTTATTTATTTATATTCACCCGAAAAGAAAGATCTTACCTGTAATGACCGTTGCCTGCCAGTAGGTGGTGGTGGCACACCTGAATCCACATGGCAATGGAGTCAGGCCAGGAAGTAAACTCTAAAATATATGCACTCAAATCCAGAGGTTAAATACACAGATTGTGTGCTCCAGAGCAGGTCGAGCGCTGCACAGAGCCGGGCGGCGGGGAAGACAATGCCCGATAGGGCTAGCAGAAGCCAAAAAGTCCCCTCCCCGATCTGCGCGAGGTTGAGGTTAGTTGGGAGCCAGTAGTGGTGTGCGGATCTTGTTGTTTGGCCCACGCCACAAGGGGGGGAAAAACCCACACTTTCGGGCTCCAGATAATGGCGAATCAATCCCACACCAGTTAGGTTTTAAAGGGGTATTTATTTGGGGGATAAAACTTACATACACACAAACCATCAGAAAAGAAGCCTAGTCGCTGAAGCAGGAGCCAGAATCAAGAGCCGGAACGAAGAGAGGCTGATCCGAGACTTGTGGCTCTTTTTAAAAGAGAAATATACCATGCCCCAGTGGACTGGTATTTCAGTGGCTATTGGCTGAAGGAGCAGAAGATGCTCCCACAACATTGTGGGCTCATACTTCAGTGACTATTGGCTGAAGGAGCGGAAGGTACTCCCGCAGCAAACATGCACCTGTGGGCCTCCTACACATACCTGTCACTGGGCTACTATTTTGATCGGGATGACATGGCTCTAGACGGTGTAGGCCACTTCTTCCATGAATTGGCCAAGGAGAAGTGCAAGGGCGCTGAGCGTCTCCTCAAGTTGCAGAATGATCGCGGAGGTCATGCACTCTTTCGGGATGTGCAGAAGCCATGTCAAGATGAGTGGGGTAAAACCCATGAGGCCATGGAAGCTGCCCTGGCTTTGGAGAAGAACTTGAACCAGGCCCTCTTGGATCTTCATTCCTTGGGCTCTGCTCACACAGATCCTCATCTCTGTGACTTCCTTGAAAACCATTTCCTAGATAAGGAGGTGAAGGTCATCAAGAAGATGGGCAACCACCTGACCAACCTCCACAGGTTGGTTTCTGGGCCCCAGGCATCTCTGGGCGAGTACCTTTTTGAGCGGCTCACTCTCAAGCATGACTAGGAGGCCTCTCCTTCCAAGGGGCTCCCACCTCTGCTCTGCACGAGTCAGCCTCAAGACCTTCACCCGAACCTCTCAAGAAGCCATGAGGCAGCTTTGTAACGCCTTGGAGCCCCTCTTAAGTCTTGGACCAAGTAAAAATAAAGCCTCTTGAAACAGCAAAAAAAGGAGGGGGTCACAAACTTGAGAGTGTGTATGGGAAGAACACACAATTAGTTGGAGAGTAAAAAGAAGGTATGAAAATTACATAAATACAATACTCATGTATGAAATTCTCAAAAAATTAAAAATTAAATAAAAAAGAATAGAGGAATTAAAGTAAGCACTCAAATTAAAAATTCACCAGTAAGCTGCTTCAAAAATAAAAGTCACTATGAATCAGAAAATATATTCTTTGACATATTAATGAAGGAGAAAATAAGTCATAAAATTCTCTTCAAAATGTATTTTCTCTCTGTAGTATATTGAATGTAATTGGCTCCCATAATCGCATAGGGAGTGGCACAATTAGGAGGTGTGGCTCTGTTGGAATGGGTATAGCCTTGTTGAAGAAAGTGTGTCACTGTAAGGGTGGGTTTTAAGGTTTCCTGTGCTCAAGATACTGTCCAGGTCTCATATGATTTCCTGTTGCCTGCAAGTTGTAGGACTCTCAGCTACCTCTCCAGTACCATGTCTGCCTGCATGTCATCATGCTCCCCAGCATGATGATGATGGACTGAAACTTTGAAATTGTAAGTGAACCACCCCAATTAAATGTTTTCTTTTTAAGAATTGCCATGATTACTGATGAATATTTTGCATATCACCATAGAATCTTCATCTGGCAATGGATGGAGACAGAGACAGAGACCCACATTGGAACACTGGACTTAACTCCCTAGGTCCAAATGAGAAGCAGAAGGAGGGAGAACGTGAGCAAGGAAGGCAGGATCAGAGGGAACATTCATCTGACAATGGATGGAGATATAGATGGAGACCCACATTGTAGCACTGGACTGAGCCCCCAAGGTCCAAATGAGGAGCAGAAGGAGGGATAACATGAAAAAGGAAGTTAGGACCACGAGGGGTGCATTCACCCACTGATACAAGGGTATTGATCTAATGAGAGCTCACCAAGGCCAGCTGGACTGAGACTGAATGAGCATGTGATCAAACCGGATTCTCTGAATGTGACTGACATGAGGGCTGACTGAGAAGCCATTGACAATGGCACTGGGTCTTGTTTCGTCTGCAAGTACTGGCTTTTTGGGATCCTAATCTGTTTGGATGCTCACCTTCCTAGACCTGGAGGGAAGGGTGAGGAACTTGAACTTCCCACAGGGCAGGAAACCCTGACTGCTCTTAGGACTGGAGAGAGAGGAGGAGAGGGAGTGGGGGGAATGGGAGGGTATTGGGAGGAGGGGAGGAAGTGGAAATTTTTAAAAATAAATTAATTAATTAATTAAAAAAAAGATTTGCCATGTTTATGGTGTCTATTCACAGCAATAAAAACCCTAACTAACACAGAAGTTGGTACCAGGGACTGGGGTATTGCTGTGATAGGCCTGACCATGTTTTAGTTTGGAGAAACTTGGACTTTGGTACTTTGTATTATGAAAGCACCAAAATGCTTTAAGCCTTGTTTAATGGGCCATACTAGTGGGAATGTGGAAGACAGTGGTGTTTAATGTGATTTGATGAACTATGGGGGACTGCTCAAGAAGTTACAGAGGAAAAGAATATTTGTATGATACCTAGAGATCACTCATGTGATATTTTAGTGAAGAAAGTGGCTGCCTCTTGCCCTTGTCCAAAAAGTCTACCTGAAACTGAATTGAAGAGTTTTGGATTAATTCCAATGGTCTAGGAAATCTCAAAACAGCCTAGTATAGACTCTTGTCTTGTGGTTATTAGTGGTAACTCTAAAGAATATTTATAATGAAAAGGAACAAGCTGAGAAGGGTTAATTGCAAAAATGTAAATTTTGAGGAGAAAAAGAGCACCAAAAAGTGGAATGGAGCTAAATTCTGTGTTCAAGGATTAACAGATTAATTAACAGATAAAGAAATGAAATAAAGGGGTTGGTAACCACAGCGCAAGATCCCACCCAGCTGAGTTTCCAAGTTGTTAAAAGGAACTACAAAAAGGCTTAGAGTTGGGCATGGTGAGACACACCTTTAATCCCATCCATGGGAAGGCAGAGTCTAGTGAATCTCTGAGTTTGAAGCCAGCCTGGCCTACAATGCAAGTTTCAGGACATCCAAGCTTAAGGGGTGAAGGAAAGAAAACTGATGAAGGTGTAATTGAATGAGGGGGCCATGTTCCAGCCTGAGCAAACAGTAAAACTCAGTAGTTTTGACCACATGGTTCTGGTTTTAGAGTTGAGGATAGAAGAAATGGATTATGTAATTTGCCTCCACATCTACAGAAAGCCATTAAGGCCAGGCATGTGTCAGGGGTGTCCCTGAATATAGGACTAGTAGAGATGCCATTTTGTGAAGCTGTGAAGTTGAAACCTGGGTTGCGTTGGAGAACCCAAGACATTAGAGATGCCAGAGTCCTGTGATACCTACTGAGGAGAGCTGCTAACAGGGAGTGGAAATAGTCCCCAAGAAATAAGTGTGTTGCAATCAACAAAGCTGAATGGAGTTGGACATTTGAGGAGTTCTTTGATGTCAGATATGGAGATGCAGAGTTTGGAACTTGCCCAACTGGTCTTTGGTCTTGCTCTAGTCCAGTATTTCATCACTATTCTCCCATCCCTACATTTTGGAATGGTAATATATATCCTCTGCCATAATATGTTGAAAGTATGTGATCTTCTTTATTTTCTATTTTGATTTTTAGGGGATTAGAATTAAGAGATTTTATGAGTCTCAGAAGAGACTTTGAACTTTGGACTTTTAAACATTGTGAAGGCTGTGATAGACAATATGGACTTTTGAAGTTGAACTAAATGCATTTTGCATTGTGATATTTTTCTGAGATTATGGAGGGCAGGGAATGAGAAATAGTCATTTGAATGTAATTGGCCCCCATAATCTCAAAGAGAGTGGCACTATTAGGAGGTGTGGTTTTGTTGGAGTAGATATGGTCTTATTGGAGGAAATGTGTCACTTTGTGGGTGGATTTGAAGTTTTCTATGTTCAGGGTACTGCCCAGTGTTTCAGTAAACTTCCTGCTGCCTGCAAGGTGTAGGACTGTCAGCTACCTCTCCAGTAACATGTTTGCCTGCACACCACCATGCTCCTCACCATGATGAAAATGAACTAACCCTCTGAAACTGTAAATGAGCCATGCCAATTAAATGTTTTGTTTATAAGAGTTTCTGTGGTCATGGTGTCTCTTCACAGCAATAAAAACTCTAATTAAGGTACTCTCCTTTCTTTTTTACTTCCCAGCAAGCTAGAAGTGTGTTGTTCTCAGCAATATACCTGTCCCACAAAAATTTATCAAAGTGTAGCCAAAACTTGGACCCGTATATAGTAGCTTTGATGATAAAGAGTTTTCAAGGTGGTGGGGGTGGCTACACCTTTAATCCCAGAACAGTGGAGATAGGGGTAGGTGGATCTCTGTGAATTTAAAGCCAGCCTAGTTTACATAGTGAGTTCCAGGACAACCAGAAAGATATCCTGTCTCAAAAAAAGTTTTTAATGCAAGTTGAATATTAGTAGCATTATAATAATTTAGCCAAACACGAAGCTGTGAGTACTTTTGAAAAGTCTCAGATTTATAAAATCATCCATAGCATAGAAACTTCATACTAATACACCAAATTAATTACTCGATGTGAATTTCTGCTGCATTATTAAAACAAAGTTACCTCAGATGTTCTTAAAGGTTGTTCTCTTTTTTTTTTATCTTGGCAAGGAGCTGATGAAAGAATAAAGTCTGTGGTGCTCCCCACTCCAAGAAGTCATTCCTTTTAAGTGGAGTGGAAAGCTTCACTTTCTACTTCCCTTACTTCTTAAATAAGAGTCTTCATGAATTATAATTTATATACCATAAATTTCACCCAGTATTATTGTATAAATGTCATCATCACCCTATGGTCCATTTATAGCCCCCCCATTTCTATAGTCAGCCATATATATTTGCCTGTATTTGATTAGTGTTTTGGTCATTTTATCTAAATGAAATCATATGTGGTCTTTTGTGACTATTCTGTAAGATGTGGAGAATGGTCTAGGTTTCAAAAGCCTAAGTTTTATTAGGCAAGCAAAAATAAAAGAATAGCTTGTAGCAGATAGAAGCAGTCAAACATCATCAAATCAAGTGCTTACAGTATGCAGCAATGAAGACTAGAGTAGGTTGATTAAGAAAGATCAAACAAAAGCAATATCATCAAAGGAGGGCTTACAGGACCCTTCAGAAATCAACTGCAGAAGAAGCTGTCATGCTAGAGTTCCCAGTTAAGAGGCTCTCCTAGATAAGCTTCCAGCTTCCTGTTCCTATTGCAAGTATTTTTGTACCATGGGATAAACAATAGTAACCTGTGTTGGAAACAGTTTACTTCCCAGCTGGTCTCAAGAACACACTGTTTTAATATCATCAGCTGTTTGCTTTTTACCTTTCTTCTTATCACATGACCAAGAGGCCATCCTATTCCCAGAAAAGGGGTCCTAGAAGACACTTCAAGACAAATATACTTGGATCTGAAGTTCTGGTGGCCAGGATGGGGTATAAGGGTGTCTACTCTACCCTAATTACAGATACCGCTTTTCAGTAAGCTTAAATAGTACATCACAATTTATCAATATATTTTGTATTATAGACTTGCTCCTTTTTTCTTGCTCTTTTTTTTTATCCCCAGATTTTTTTACCAGCATGTGAAATTAGGTACATCTCAAAAATAGATCAGGTGGTGATCTCTAATCCATTGTTTCTAAATTCTTGTCACTGGCAGAGATTGACCTTAGAAACAAAACAAAGAGATAAGAGGTTTTATTACAGGGTAAACAAACACACTCAAGGGGGATAAGCTTCTCAAGAGGGTCTGAACAGCGAATTTTATGGGGAACATTAATAGGCCAGAATATTATTCATGAGTTAAG